TACTAGATAGCTCTGGTGCTAATCCCGAAGATGTGGCGGGGGAGTGTGTGAGATACCAACGTGCAGTTTGCATGTTTGGCACGGCGGTGAAATTGGCTCATCTCTCCTAATGCTCGTGCATGCAGAGAGTTATGGTCAGCCTGAAGTCATCAGTGATGATTCTGGTTTGATTTACTGGAAATCAGCCACCAGGTCCGTGCCCTGGGTGACTTAGGTGTCTTTGTGGAGCATTGGCAGCGTTGGGTTAAGGTGCCTGCTGTGTGATCACAGCTGTTAAAGCGACACGTAAAGCCCTTGTCCAGGGACACGCAACTGCCTGTGTGTTTGAAGGAATCTTTTTATTCTAATATTACCATAAGCTCTACATAGCCTGCATGGGAAACTTAGGGTTTTTGATTCCTATCCGCTCTCTTACTTCATTCCTCTTTGTKCTCGGGCTCTTGCCGTTAGCATTAGAGAGAACAGTTCCTCTTTGAAAAAGGGGCGCTGCGGTTTTTGGGAATTCTCTCTTCCTTGCCCTTTGCCATATGCCTCAGCAAGTGCCTCAGCAAAGGGCTACGCGCTTTGAGGGCAGAGCCTGCGGTTTTGGTGCCCTTTGCAGTCTCCTGGCAGCGAAAGGCCTCATCCTGTGGCCTTGGGCCCCTGTGCGGGTTTCCCCACGGGCGTTTGGGCAGCAGGACCCGGGACCGGTCTCGGTGACGCCGCTGCGTCCCCTGCACCGGGAGGCTTTGCCGGAGGGGTCGGCGGGAAGCCGCGTCCCTCCGGGCGCCGATGGGGCCGCGGGAAGCGGCGGCGGGAAAGGCGGTTTCCTTGGCAGCTCTCGGGCTGCCTTCCCTGCGTGTGTGCGGCCGTCTGGGTGATTAATGCGAATAGGAAAATACTCTTGACCCATTTAAATCATGTCAGCCCACGGCCCCCGCTCGTCCACAGCGTGAAATACCGCGAGCCCAACATCCAAACTGTACAGGAACTGCAAAGATATTTTGGATTTGGGCTCATTTGGATTATATGGTAAAGCGTGAGCTGTTAGTGCTAATAGCAGCACTAGATTTTAAGCTGAGCAAATTGTAATTGTCAGCAAAAGACAACTATAAGTTCAAAAGAGTATTAGCATTTCAGCTATAGCAGCTAATTTGAGTAATCCTTTTCTTTTGGTGTGGCTTCTAAAAGTCTATGCAAACATTTAATAATAAGGGACTGGGTTCAGGAGTGTTTATTTTGTATCATTATTTAATTTCAGTTGTGAAAGAAATGTTGGAAATATTAATTTGCCACATTTAAATGTATTGACATTTTATATTGCAGGAATAAATTACAATCTTTATTTGAATGAAATAAGATCAAAAAGGCGAATTATTAGTAATTGAGAAATTAAATTATTTAAAGCATTTATTTAAGTATCAAAGTAAAAACTGAAACCTTTAAAGATGTGAATTTCATCAAATAGAAACATCACTTTGAACACGTTGAACTAAATACAAATTTTAAAATACTGAATTTAGGCTGTCAGGTTTCTATGGTTACCTGCCTTTCCAGCAGTTTTGTGACATGTGTAAATAGGCCTGTGAGTCACTTGTAATTATTTGTTTTTGGTTTGTTATAGTTGTAATTCTGTGTTCAGTTTGAATCTAATATAGTTCACACCGCATGCTTTGCTTTATGTATATTTTAGTGCATATGAGTGACAGTGATTGAGCATTTCTTATGGAGTGCCTTTTTTTTTTTTTTTTTTGTCAGAAGTGATGTATGTTTGTCCTTCAGAAAATGCAAACAAGTTCTTCCTGTATCACTGTTTGATAAATAAGGACTTTTTTTGATAAGAAAGGGATCTTTGTAAAGATTAAGCAAGAAGATAAGGAAAAGATACTTAAAGAAAATAAAACAACCTCCCAAACCTTATATCATACTCCTCCAAATTAGATCTGTAATCCTGTCATTATAATTCCTCCAGTGCCCCAAATGTCACATTATTTATGAATAAGCGTTATGTATTGATAGGACACCCTAATGACTGACAGTTATAAAAATAAATGCTTTACTAAGGGTGCTCCAAATCACCAGCCTCAAGCTTTTGACGGGAACAGCTTTGTGTGCAGAGCATCTTCTCGGGGAGCAGGAGCTGTTGGCGCTGCCGCCGCGGCCCTGCAGAAACATCTGCAGCCTCCAGGGCCGTGGGTCGGCCCGAGGGCGCGGGAGCCGCTCTGCGGKCAGCGTGCCCCAGCCTGGCACCTCGGGCTCCAGCCAAGGACCCTGCGCGCTTTCCCGAGACAGCTTGCCACCCTATTGTAACTTGAGCTTTTGTGTGCTTCTAGATGCTCCTTATGGAATATTACGAGTAATTAATAAAATTTTAGATGAGACTAGGAGCTTGTCTGCTAGCTGTCTTTGTCTTTTTTTTTTCTTTTTCTTTAACCAAATGAGTAGCAATGTAAGTATTTATGAAAACATTCATCTTCAAATTGCTAACAATGTCTACTTTTGTCCTTTTGAGATAAGCCTGGCTTGCAATTCAGGAATCTTCTTGTATCCTTAAAGGTTTGGCTGCAGGTGTATGGAAAAGAGCAGCTGGCATAAGACGTGTCTTTTCTACAGGGAAAAGGCAGTTACAGAGCAAATGCTGATACAATGTTTAAAACATTCCTAAATTTTCTATGCAAAAATTACTCTTATTTTACCAAACTTGCTCATAGCTTTATCTTCTGAAAGGGTTTCTGTTTAAAACATTTTCATAGAGATTCAGGCTTTTTTTCTCTCCCCCTCTCCTCCCCCCCCCCCCAATTTAAGATGTTGAAGTAGGTTTTATTTTTAACACGCTGCTGGTAACATTTAATACTGTAGTAGTCATGTATGCAGGATGTAAACATGCCAGCTGAAAAACAGTTGTTTCGTAGGGCACCTGAAAGGATTTTATCCCAGTAGGATTCAATGGATGTTAAAGCTGTGGGTGGGTGCATATTAACAGCAAGATTTGTTGTCTGCGTGTGTGTGTGTGCGTGCGCGTGCACGTGTGCAAGGACTATTTGAATTGCTTATTATTTTAATCTGAAACAACTGCTCTTTTTTAATAAGTCACTTGTTCCAACAATAGTTTCTTCCCTACAACATCAAAATGATGAATATAATGACTGATCTTTCAAACTAAAGTAATTACTTGGATGTTTTAAAACTCCTTAGATGCAGCATGTTTGAAAGGTGTATTTACATGTGCAAACCTGAACAAATACATGTTTCTCCTAGTTTATTCTGCTTAAGATGAATTAATTTACTCAATATAAGAACATGGTAACGTAAGAAGAATGTTATTTTTGCCAGTCAGAGAAGCTGAAATTTGCCAGATGCTGTGATTTGAAGCATGAATTCCCCTGATAGTAACTGTGTGTGAAACTCTTAATTTTGCTTCGTTCGGATTTTATATGTGACTTGCTTCGTTTTGCTGTGATATTGCATTAGGCAACACTTTCCTTTTGTATTTATATTACTCTGTTGGAGAAATAAAATTTAGTAGAAATAGAGCTAGGATTGAAGACTACATTATTTTCTTGGAATGTAGCGAGAATGCCTAACCTTAAATCTTGCAGACATCTCAAAATGCGGAGAGCAAGTATTTTGTCAAAGTGCTTTATGAGCATGTTGCAGGAAGGGTTTTCCAAGTCAAGTATGTATAGCCTAGTGGCATTTTGTGTAACAAACAATTAATTTCCTTTGGTATAAACATTAACATCCTTCAGATTGCTAGATTGTGTTCTGTGTTTCTTAAATTCTGCAGTATAATGACGGAGTGCTACTTAATGATACTCCATCTATAAATTTATTTCTTATACTGTCTTGGCAGGATTTCCTGTACATGTAAACATATACGTACACAAGCGCCTAGGGAATCAGTTGAAGGGTTTTTTAAGGATGTAAAATCAGATTTTTCCTTTTCTCTTTGTTAAAGTTGCACTGTCAAATGCTTCTGACAAAAGGTGGCACCAAGCCAACTTCCTGCAGGAGCTATGGGGAGGGTCACGGCTTGTCATGACCTGGGCACTATTACTTGAATGTTGTTATTATTGGGATGAAGTACCCTTAGGCTGTCATCCTTCCTGTACATAGGGGAGCTGCTCGGTCTCTCTGGTTTCCCAGTTTCCCGACTTGCAGAGAAGCTATTTTGTTGGCCATAGCTTGAATGAATAAGGAATCAGAAGATGAGCATCATGCACAGTGTGCTGGTCTAAAGTAAGTAGTAATAAGCACAGACAATTGCAAATATGTTTCAAATAGTTTAAAAATCTGCACCCTATTAAGGTACTTACTTGTACTTGCATGCAGCAAACCTTTTGCTCTCCCTGAAGTAAATGCAAAATTTTAATTAGCAAGGAGCATAACTGGTCCTTTGGGCCAAATTTGACTTTCTTCATGTTGCTGAGAGTCCCAGTGGCGTCGGAGTCAGTGGCATTTGGCCATTGACTTCTGTGGTTGTCACCATGAAACTTCATTGGCGCTTTTCATGAAGGTAATGACAACAGGAATTCCTCTTACTACCTTCATTAAGTAAATAAATTATTTTTTGTCATTATTTTCTATTTAATTTAATTAAAAATAATGCCAGTTTGAATATAATGTTTGAAATATTCTGGTCTTTATTGGGGTTTATTTGGGTGTAATCTTAAGCACGCTATTGAGGAGATTTTCAACGATATGTTGCTGTTGTAAGTGAAGTCACATCCATAGCAATGAATATTTCATTTCCCCAATCATGCTATTAAAACCAGAGTGTTTTTACCCTTTCATTTCTGTTTTCTCCTTCCTAGTACCATCATGACAGCTGTGGCTGTGTCCTGTTTACAAATTGCTGCTAGTCACATTTTCAGGAGTCCTCGTGGGTTTTGCTTTTCTCTAATATGGGCAATTAGGAGGAAACATTTCTCACGAGCATGGGTTTGCTCTTCTCCTTGTAATGACACAGTCCTGTAATGCAGGAAGCAGTGCTGCATGGTGTCCATGTCCCCGGTTTCCTGATGTGGGAAAAACGTGTGGAAAGCATCTGGAGTGGAGGAGAGTCCCTTTACCAGCTTGTTTCCTGTAAGCGAAATTGGAAGACCTTGTCTGTGCAAATAGATTTCAAAATAGAGTCTGCCCTTTGACTGTCTCCATAATTACACAGCGCTCTCTGTATTTTATTTGGCTGCCAGAGCAGTTAACCCCTGGAAGTAAGGGGCTGATGATGGCGTGACCAGCACGGGTATGCAGCCATGACCATGTGAATACACTCTTGTTTAGAGAAGCCTGTCGTTAAGACCTCGTTACAATATACTTTTGCCAAATTTAGGAATTATTGCATGTTGGGTTATGTAGATTAAGACATGTTATATCCTTAATGTAGCTAAAATGCAGGGGTATTAGCTGTCAAAAAAAAAGAAAAAAAAAGGAAAGGAAAGAAAAAAGTTTTTTTGTGGCTTTGATGTAATCAACATCTGTCAACAGAATGAATTTGCTTTTGTTTAATTCCAAGGGCTCTTGTCCTGCTACTTTGCCCAATCAGTTTCAACTTCTGCCTGAGGCATTTCCCCATGTTGTCCTTTTTCTCAGCAAATGCACAGGTTATTGCTTGTGAAATGTGAGCTGCTCCTCTGTTACACAGGTTCCCCGGAGTTGGAAAGAAGCTTTAACGTTTCCTATTCTATTTTTGAAGCTCACATTCACCTTTGTGACACAGACATTACAAAGTCTATGTTTTATTAAACACTTAAAATTGTAAGAAAAGCTCTGTCGAACCACAGCCATTGCTTCAGGTTGACAAATGGGWACTTTTGGTAATTAACAGTAAAAAGCTGTGTGTTCTTACTTAGCTGAACTGGTTGGAGCCCATATATTATTACCCATGTTGATTTTTAATACCTTACTTTAAACTGTATTTGTCTGAAGTTTCAAAAAATGAAGTTTGCACAAGAAGAAAAAATATTTAATAACTTTAAATCACCTGTCAAACCAAATTACTGATCTTAAGTGTTTTATATATACACTACAAAAACCCTCTAAAGTCATTTTTTGTTCAGTTAAAAAGACATTTAAATCATATGTTTTAAAATGGGCCATCGGAACACTGATTTTGAGGTTGTAAGTTGTTTAGATATATTAAGATTTATCAACAGCAGTTTTTACTTCTAAATCAGTTGGATGTTAAGTCTGGTAATCCTAAATAATTTCATTACAGTGCTTCTGTAGGTACTATGACTGACTAAATTAATTTAAAATATGGTCATTGTATTTCTTGGCTTCTTTAACATGTACCCCTTTATTTATTGTGTGTCAGAACGATAATGAAATCTATCCTTTAGTAATATTTCCCTAATTAATTGCTATTTTGAAGCTTTTCATAAATAAATACCAAAAGTTGAATTGCCAACTGTCACTTTTTTTTTTATTGCTGCTCCACAGCTCATTGAAAAAGTGTCTGATAGGTTTCTTAAGTGTTAAATAGGAAGCATTAGGGAAATGCTTCTGTGAGAGTTCATTTCCAACATCTCCCTTTAAAAATACTTCTTGACCAGAGGAAAATCACATTTAAATGACTAAAATCAACTTAATTAAGGGTCATTAATAGAGATACACATAAAAAAACTCCCTACTCAGTAAGTGAAATGGGAGCTTTTCATTATATAGTATCGCGTGCATGAACAGATAACAATTAAAATAGACCTAGAGTAAAAGGCTAATAAATATAGGGCACATTGTGCTGCAAAATCAGTCACTTAAACTGCTCCTACCCATCATCATACTTGAATTCTGTGTTCAGCCTCTTGCTGAATCGATTAACAGAAAAGAAAATGTAATTTCCATAAAAGATAAATTCATCTGGCAATTCACAAAAGCTCCTGGTGCATATTTATATTATTAACGCAAATTGAAGTGCAGAAGGTAGGCTGAGGAATCCAGCAGCACGTGCCCGCGTCTGCGTTGCACACTGTGACTCGCTTGGGAGCACTGTCTGCAATTCCCCGTGCTCGGGACATGCTAGGTGCTGTTGGGATATCCGAAACACTGGCAATAATTCTCGTTATTGCAGCTGATAATAAATATTCTGCTGTTGATGGCAACTGATACAGCTTTACTGCTGGGAGGGGGAGAAAAAGAAACCTGAGCATGGTCAACTTTGGGTCCTCGCTGTGATGCTCTGGGCATTACGACGCTGCAGGTTCAGCCCTCCCTGATGGATGTCAGATCCGCTGGAAGCAACATAAACCCTGCATTTATGAAATACTTTACAGTAGTTAATATACATATATAGAGGCTGGAAAGCCTAGTGTAAAGGATGTGCTTGAGCTCCAGCGTTGTAGGAATAAGCCTGTAACAAAAGCCTGGGTAGGTGCAGGGGCTGAGGAGGCAGTATCTTGTCCAGGGCTCGAAGCAAACAGCCAGTTTTTCCTGTCTTTGATGATTGATGATGTTGCTATATCAAATTAGCTGTGAATATGAGAGCTTAAAAATAAAAGAAGATACAGAGACATTCTTAAGGAAGGAAGTGTGGACATAGAGTCCAGATTTCCATTATAAAACAGTAACTTCATTATATTTTAATGCTTTTTTATTTTTACTTCAAAGGAGGATGTTTTCTCTTGTAATTTTTTTCTCTCTCAAATGAATGGTTAGTTATCCTATGTTTATAATTCCCGTGATTTATTTCAGGAGTCACACCATGCTATAGTGATATTTATTTGGTTGTCGCACTTCACCTGTTCAAGCAGGAGACATTTTTGTGTGTGTCTGCTTTATAATGAGTAGTTAGCAGACTAACAGCAGACCACAATACCTCATTATCGCATTATCTCGTGACAACACTTCCTATGCCTCTTTGGGGGGACTCAGGTAAAAATTTTGTTTGGAATCATCCGGCATCCCGTGCAAGCAGGGGAGGGCCGCAGAGGCCACCCCCAGGAACAGATTTAGAGCGCGGCAGGAGACAGGGGCTCCGCTCTGGAGCGAGGGACGCGGATGTACCAGGCCTCTCGCTCCGTCACCGCTAACCGCTCGGGAAGCGCAGCTGGAATTGGCCTGCGCTGAGGGCGGCCCTGCGCAGCCTCGCGGGTGCTGCGCAATTCCCGGTGCTGGGGCTCCCCATTGCCCGTCGAGCGGCACCGGGCAGGGCACCCACAGGGCCAGCCCGGGCACCCGCAAAGGTGCCGCGCTGCCCCGCGCCAAGGCCTCCGCTGGGCCCGAGGGGCGAGCGCACACGCGCGCGTGTGTGTGTGTGTGTGTGTGCGTGCGTGCAGGGGGGCTCCTGCATCCCAAAGAAAGGAGGGTACCATAAAGTAAAAGTCCGCAAGACAGAGAAGAAACAAGATTTTCCTTTATTTTTTTTTTAGGATTTTTTTTAAATAGCAATTTTTTTATAGAGATCTTTATTTGTGCTAGCCAAAAGCATGCAGTAGGCAAGTTTCTTATTTTCTGTGATTCCAAAATGTTTACTCAGTTCTGTTTAAGTCAAAGCAGTTCCTTTTAACTACAGAGTAACTATTTATACTGGTTACTTGCCCCAAAAGATTTGTTTTTTTACATGTTTGCCTGCATGCACTTTTTTCCTGCAAAGTAACATTGCACAGCAACAAAATTTGTATAGTCAATACTCTGGTAAACTGCACTATCCTAAATTTTTGTGTGAAATAAATGGATTTATAATTTTATTATAAATGCTAATTCCTTCACTTGTCTTTGAGCAAGATTAGAAAGATCTCTTGAAGTTTGTTATGTTCCTCTGATTGGCAAGAGATTATAAAGAACTGAATCCCTTTCTCCATGTCTTATTGCCAGAGACCAGAGCAGCAGTAACTTGACTGTGCTCAAATGTGTGACCAGTTCAACAGATGCACAGATGAAAATATTGTCCAAAATATAAATGCTACACTGTTGTTTTTTTTTTTTTTTCTCTCAAAATACCTAGCTATTGTCCCTTATTTACTGTTTCTCCAAGCCTTGAACCATGCAACTTCTAGCCAAATTGCTACAAATCAGGCCCAGGTGGAGCATCAGCTCCATTTTAAGATTTGAGGAATTTACCCACGCAATTTGTTAACACATTGAACCAAAATAGGTCTAAATAGACCTATAAAGCTTTAATATATTGCTCTGAGTGTTTTGTTCTCATTGTTTCTCCGTGTTAGTTCTCGCTTTAATGATGTGAGATTTTATAGTTCCCTGAGCATCCCCTGGTTAGTGCCTGGCCTTCTACGGTCTCTTACACTCGCTGCCTTTCTTTCTGTGTGCTCCCCAGTTTGCAATGTGCTAGTAAAAACCTTCTCACCATTTTTAACCTATCTATTAGCAGGTTCTATTCGTGGTTGCCACCAGATTTTCCCTTTGCTGCGCAAGCTTACCTGCCTGTGCAGGCAGGCAGGCAACCAGCAAGGAAGATGCTGCTTTTCCCGGGGCCGAAGAAGTGCTGCTTACAGTGTAGTGCGGCCAGCTGCGGTGTCGCCTGCTCACCCGGTGCCCAAGGTACTGCCACTTGAGTTCCCTGACGTGCTTTCCAGCCCAGATGACTCTGCGAGTGCTGCGGATGGTCCTTGCCTGCTGTTTGGCTCAGCGTTCCGTGTGATGGGTTTGGCTTTGGACCTTGCTGGATTTGGTCTTTGGAGTAGGAGCACTAGCAAGAGAGGTTTTCAGCTCTGACCATGTGAAACAGTGATCTTTCTAGTTGCCGGGGCTTGCTAAGGTGTGAAGCTTTGCACATGGCGTTTGTATGGTCACTGCTTTGCACCTCTGCCCTAGCAGCTCTTACAAGTCAGCAATAGCTCAATAACCGATAAACATGATTTTCTTCCAATCTAAGTGCCAAAGCATTGCAGCAGGATGCTGTTTTGGTTGTGTGCCGTTATTTTGAATGAAATGTAAATCTGAAATTCTGGGGATGAGTTCACCAAAGAGCCAGTTATACATTTTTATGAGAGTAGAAGTGATGGAATACCATCAGAAATAACAACAGTCTTCAATGTTCATGTGGAGTTAATCATTACGCCCCTGCTCTTCACCCCTACACTTCGCTGCCATGTGGGCTAGTTGTGTCCAGCCCAAGTGGCCATTTTGTTCTGCTCGGCCAGCTCAGGTCAGCCGCTTGGAAAGCCAGTGGCCAACATCTTTCAGCAGTTTGTGGAGCCACTGGGATGGCCACAGTCACTCTTCCCTGTGGCTGGTAAAGCAGCCTGGCATCCTTGCAAAGTATGGGCCGCTCTTTGGGCAAGGGACTGCTGTTACTGTTACTTTGTTGTTACACACTGGACTTAAATTATTGTGGGTTTAAAAAAATCAGAACTGGGACTTTACTGACATATGAAGGCTGAGAAATTTTGGGGAGGAAAGAAAGGAGGGAAAAAAAGAAAAAATTGTCACAGGGTAAATTGGTCTTGCCATTGTACTGGGTCATGCCATAGTACTGTAAGTGGAGCATATTATCTAGATTAATAAGTAAAAATCCTAAATTAAATTAAATCCTGAGGTTCTTGGTATTTAAAAAAAAAAAATGAATTTGCTCAAGAAACTGTTTCATCAGACTTATTTTTTAGCCTAATTCTGTATGTTTGTCCATTCAGTTAAGGTGTTTAGATAACTTTTGTGAAAGAAATGCCATCCTTTCCAGAAGAAAAGGAATTTTTTAAATCTTGCTCTCAGAGTTCTAAAACTTAAAACTTTTTGTGCTGAAAGTCTGCAGCAGAGCCCAGGATTTCGGCACAGGAAGGTTAACAGACTCTGCAAGTCAGTATAACAGGCAACGTTAAGTTCAAAAGGGCAGTGGAAGAAACACTGAGGCAGCCTTGAGGGTTTGCCCTGATGGCTTAGGAAGGTCGATGGCAGGACACAAAGGGCAAGCTGCCATGGAGCAGGAGGCAGTATCTGAGAAAATGATCCCATTGTCATACTCAGTTTTCTGATCTTCATTTTCGATCCTTTTTCTCCAAGCACATAAAGAGGCCAGACTATGTGACGACAGGCATTGTACCAGCCTGGGGAGACGACATAGAAATTAAGAATGAAGATCAGATTCAAGGGCTTCGTCAAGCTTGTCAGTTGGCCCGTCGTATCCTGCTACTGGCTGGAAAGGGCTTAAAGGTAACAATTACATAAGTCCCATAACTACTTGGATGTCTTTTTTGCTTTCAGAAGTTTGGGAAGGTTTTCTTTCCACTTTTTTTTTCCTTAAACTTTCCTTTAATCCAACTTTCTTTTAAGTTAGATACAAAACCAGAGGGATTTAGTAACTTTTGATTTGGTCCACAGTATGTTTGTTTGATTATGTCTGCCTTTTAGACCCATGAAATGCTTAATTCCAGTCAGTCATTGCTTCAGGGGTGACCTCTCTCCATCTGTAGCCTCTCTCTCTCTTTGGATCCTGCCAAATCCCACAAGTTGCTCCTAAGGCCCGTGATATATTTTTTCATGGCAAATCTTCCTCATGCTCTCTGCTTTTCTGCTGCGTGTGTCTGCCATTCCAAAGGGCTGGTCTGCTTCCCCTCCATCCTTCTCCTCCCGGTGTCTCACGTGGGCTGGAACACTGCAAGGTTGAGATTCACTGTTGAAAAAAACAGCTGCCAAATTCTATACAATTTTTCAGAGTGCATTGATAATGAAGCCTCATGGTTTCCAGTAATGCTTCTACACTGTGCTTTTTGGGGTTCCCTCCCATGTGAAAAGGTACTGGGAGGAGCCTGCTATACATTTTTGCAGATGAAGGAGTACTTTTCTAGCCTTGCCTTGATATTTCATGTAATAGCGTACTGAATAGGGCAAAATGGGTTGAATAGCTATGAGATGCAGAGATAGATGGGAACTGTATGTCGATGCCATTGCCTTAAAAGGGGAAAAATTATTGGTTTACTGTGCCTTTTTCCTTCAGTTATCATCTCCCAGAGGCTTAATTCTGGAATTGGGGTGGCCACTGACAAAACTGCCTGAGGCTTTAATCTTACAAATGCTCAGGAACATGTAATTTTTTCATACGTAATTAATTCCCAGTACAGTAAGATTACTCACTCATGTAAAGCTAAGGATGTATATGTGTAGAACTGGGGACATTGAAGGAGCAGGACCTGTACCCAGAGTGTGTATGGGTTATGCACGAGAGCAGTTTTTCCAGGACAGATCYTGTGTTCGGAGCATCAGCCAAAGGGAAAAGCAGAGGTGCTAAGTGCAGGTGCTGCAGAGCAGGAGCTTGTCCTGTGCAAGCAGTGCGTGAATATTTGGCCAACATGGTTCCATAAGGGTGTCCAAAAGCCTTCTCTTGTCAACAGGGCACATCTTCCAGTTTCTGACCTAAAACTGCCCATGTTCTGCCCTAAAACTGCCTTTATCCCTCTGTTCTTGCACCAGCGCTGCTTTTTAATTGAACAGATACCTGCTTTTCCTTGAATCTTTCCCTTCCACATAGTAATAGAGCTGTGCCAGACTAACCAAACCAAGCTCTTACAGTCTCTTCTCCTAAGGAAGACTGCATTCTTTATCCCAAAAACCCATCTGTCCAGCACTCCTCGTTGCGTGCCTGGACCAGACTCACATGCTGCGCTTGCCCACGCAGTGTGTGATGCCAGGAAAAACTCCCAGTATAACCGTGGTGCTTCTTTAATGTGTGGAAGCTGAGGGACAGTGTTTGGGAAGCGTGTGTTTCTGATGCTGCTGTTTTGCCACCCACTGGACTTACATCATGCTGTGTCCAATTGGCTGAACAAGGTGCAAGTGGATCTGACAGACCTAGTTTTATCCTCAGCACGAGAGGAACATGCACTCAGTTTTACTCACTATGCATGATCACTGAATATTTTGTTATATGGTGAGGTATGCCTTCTGTACCACAGCCTACCTATATTCYAAACGTGACTAAAAAGTCCTCAGAAATCATAACCACTGTAGTTTATGTGCACAAAGTATGATTTTCAAAGGCTCAAAACTCGTTCAAATCAAAACCAATTTGCACAGGAACCCTCAAAGGCACTTCTTCTCAATGAGGGAGGTTTCACTACCAAATTTCAAATTTCAGCTCTAACCATTTCAGAGTCGATCCAGAAGCAAAGCTAGAAGAATGTTATGTTAAGCATGTGCATTTTCCACTCCATTGATAATCAAAAAATGGCAAATGATTCATGAGATGTTTTTCTTTGTATAAAATTGAAAGAAAAAGACAAATCTAGAAAATGTTGAGCATAAAAAAAACCTTTTTTTAAAACTATAAATAAATGCATGTAGATTCACTGTGTTGGTCCAGGTTGTGGCAGCTTTTAAGTAAAATWTCTTCAAGATATGAACCCAAATATTTAAACCTTTTATAAAATACCTTTAAAAATTATTGGTGAACAATTTCAAAAAATTCAGAAATGTATAGTGATATGTAAGAAATAAGTTATTTTATTTTACAAATAAGAAGGAAAAGTAATGTTGTGCTGTAAAAGACTGGAAATGCTAAAACCAGAAATTTCTATAGCAGCTAGTGAAACAAGATGCCATAGTAAATTGGTGTCTTTGAGAAAGCAAACATGGAAAAAGAAAGGGGAAGTAWGTACACAGTATTTTAGATTTTCTTGGAGCCTCTGAGTGCCCTTTTCTACTGCATGCTTGCTTTAAACCCTTTTTCTCTTTAAACAATAGTCCAATGTATCAGTAAGGTATATGAGCCAGTTTAGTGTTTTGTATCAAAACAGCATATTTAAAACATGCAAGATTTCATTGAAACACTTGGTTACAATCTCATTCGGTAAATATAAGAAACTATTGTGGCTTTTATAACAGAATTTTATATTTGATATTTTAGGTTGGCATGACAACTGAAGAAATAGATTCCATTGTTCATCATGAAATAATCAGACAGAATGCCTATCCTTCCCCTCTGGGCTACGGAGGGTTTCCAAAATCTGTCTGTACTTCTGTAAACAACGTGGTATGTCATGGTATTCCTGACAGGTATTTCCCTAATAATATGTATTTTACTGCCGGAAACTAAAACGTTAAGCTGAAATTAATAAATTGCTGTTTAATATTGAACAAATTTCAGCTTGCCTAAATGTCATAGGTAAAGCTATTGCAGACGTATGTCATCTTACAATACAGTGCTAATAGATGTTACAGGAATGTATGTAAATTAGAGAGATAAAAATATTATCCTGTTTGTTCAGTTGCTTAAAAGGACGTAGGATAATGCCTTTAGAGTTTACTATCTGAAAAATATACAGAGGAGAATTCTGATTTTTATTTCCTCAGCACAAGTATAGGTTAAGGAATAAATATATTTGAATTTATTATTTGCAATACATTCAGCTATTCACGAAGTAAAATATGAACCCCAGTGAGAGAAAAAGAATAAATATAATGGTAGATTTTTCAGGTGTTGATATGTTTTTCTACTGGCTGTTTCTCATTATTTTATATTCAGCTACACTTGTTCTCTAAGTAGTAAGAGCTGAAGATTAAAAATGGTTATTCTGTTTGCTTCTGCCTTCCTCCGTCACAAAACATCTACCCCCTGATTTTTTATGTATGTGTCATTAGGTGTTTATTCTTATATTCCCTTTGTTGGGAACTGTCTGTCACCATTTTTTTTTTCTGTTTATGTTTCAGTCGACCTCTTCAGGATGGAGATATTATCAACATTGATGTCACGGTGAGTAATTCATATAAAAAATAGTCTTTGATCAACTTTAGAATCACTAGTAGCAACAGGAAGAATAGTAGATTGAAAATGTGGAGCGTGCAGATGGATGTGCTGTTTACTTCTAAGCCAAGGCACAAGCAGCTGGTTTCCTTTTTTGTTTTTAACTATGTGTTTATTCCAGCTAGACCCAGGCCTGACTTGAATTTAGGACTGGAATCAGATGCACTGAGATCAATGTTGGCCTAAGTGAAATGTCAACCCAATCCTGCTATGTGTCATGTTTTTGAGAAGGTGTAATTGTTATTGATCCACTGTGTAGTTAATGCAGAGCACCACAGTACTGGGCAGCAGCTGAAGATAGATATGTATGAGATGAGCTAACATGAAGAAAGCCAGCATTTTTCCTTCACTCTGCCAAGATTGATCTTCCTCTTCCTGCTGATTTTGAGTGGGGCCTGTCATTATCTTACTCTGTCATTAGAGGCTACATTGGCCTGTGTATGTCAGTCTATTTGGACAGCAACTCTTTTGCTAGCAGTGTTCCCTACATTTATTAAAATCCCTGAAGGTAGTGTTGTGTTCCATTTCTGGTATAAAAGCCATGAACCCTTTACGTGGAAACAGAAATAGTGTGCTGGAGTGGAGGCTTAATATTTCCACAGGAAGGTCAATTATAGTTATTTAAATAAAGGCCGGCTGGATTTTCTTGAGGAAAAAGAAAATCTGGGAATGGGGAGCCTAATTCTAATTTCATTTGGAAAACAACAATTAATCGTGCCTTGCAGAAGCTTTTCTCTTTTTACAGTGAATGTGTTTATTTTCCCAAAGTGCTTGCCATTTATTTCTATCACGAACCCAAATGTCCTTTGAATCCTACCGTTAGCTTGCAGTAATATGTGACATACAAGAGGGTAGCATTTCTTAAGAACAAGCTTTCTTAATCATTAAAGAACCTCTTGATAACTTGATACTCTTTTCCATGGGCCAAATTTCATACTGACAGAAGTGAAGAAATCTCCAGTGGGCCCCCACCTCTCACCATGGAATTCAGGCTTCTTTAAGTACTTTTTTGCATTAAAATCAGGGTCAGTGACCCTTTCCCCGCTGCACACACATGTGTGATCCAGCACTGGTTGTTTTGGGTTTTTTTTTAACATATTAAATTCTTCTGTCTTTATACTTTTTAATCGCATATGTCTGTCCTATCAGATTTACATGGTGTTATCCAGAATTTTTAAATGTATTTTGGCCTAAATATTTACTTTGGCAAACTGGTATAGCTTTGCTCTTTTTACTAGATTATATCAGTTTGCAGCAGATAGGGTTTTAACATCTGATTTCTTTTTGTTTTATCTGGCAATATAATAAACAAAAAAAAAATGTTTAGATTGATATTACAGATATTTGCCATTGTGAGCTGAACATTTTTACATTAATATGGCATGTGCACCTTATTTGCTCTGCATTACAAATAATGTCTGAATAAATGTTAGTGGTCTTTTCAAAATATATTCTGAGTTGTTTTCTGATTAATTTCATAAAATAAAGTAAATCTTCAATGCCCATGAACTTGAAGCTTCCTGCAAGAGCAGGAATTGCTGATTATATTTGCTAAGAGCCTTTCTTTAGCTTTGAAAAGTGTGTTGTTTTTTGTAGTTGTTCAGCTCCGAAGTATCTGAGGGAAAAATATCTTTGCAGTGTTGCTAATTGATCTCTTAGTTTATATTTAATGAGAAAAACAGGGACATTTCACAGGTGGACAGAATAAAAATCAAAGGAAATGTTCTGCAACAAATTATTTATAATGTTGTATAGGGTCTATAAAAAGATTGAATAATATTCTAGTTATTAAGTGTAAACACTTCCCACTACAAATTATTTGAAGAAAACAAATCTATTTTTGCACAATTAACATGGTAGAATTTCATAGATGAAATAGATGTTTTATTGGCTTGAATCATGAAGCCTTTTAAAATGTATTTAAGCGTAGAAACAAAAGCATTATGCATCACTGAATTCACAGCGCGGTACAATTTCCAGACAGTCATTACCAGGTAGCATTTCATACAAGTTGACTTTTTCATTGACTTTTAAGGAATCAGTGTGTTATAGTTCCTCTGGCATTAATAAAATAAAACTATAGTTTACTATTGTTGCAGTTTTTAAGGTCAAAAATATGTGATTGCAGTAGATGAGCAGAGTAAATTAATTATTTTAAATTCTACTGTGTTTTAAGTTGCTCTTCATTTTTTTCAGGCTTGTTTATTTTGCAGTTTTGCATTTGTTAGAGCTAAAAAATAAATATTTCAGCTCACATGTGACCTAGCTGGCACAAGATCTGCCCAACTGGCATGAAACGATGAAATGACRTTGGGGGCACTTCTGACTGGCAGGGAAGGGTGTAGGACAGAGGCAGCCGCTCGCCCCAGAGCCAGGGACAACACAGTTGGGCCCTTATTGACATCCAGCTTTCATCAAAACACGGCTCACTGTAACTGCCTGCATTTGCTTTAGATCTGTATCCGAATACAAACCCAATGTTGGAGTAAACAGTCTGTAGCCTTTTTTATTATTATTTTGGAGTTGACCAGAATCTTTACCCAAAGCTCGCAAGTAGCAAAAGTTCAGCGGGTGCTTCAAGCCTTGTCCTTGTCACACAAGAGACTTGTGTGAGTCTCTTGTCCTAGAGRATAGTTACCTGCTGTTTGAGGGGAAAAACATGCGGAAGATCAAAACCGTGCACCATTATGATTTGTTTTTCCACAAGGAAATTCGACTCTGTCTTACACGTATGTGACTGGCCACATCACCAGAACTGCAAAATCTCTTTTAATTCAGCATTGCAGAACTCCGTAGTTCCATAGGGCAGAGCACAGGCTTTCTGAGTGGAGAAGGGATTTGAGGAGAATTTGGTATCTAGGAAAACACCAAACAAACAAATAAAAAATCCTACCTGATTAATTCAGCCAGGTGCTATGTTTTCAGTGCATGAACCTTCGCAGTGATCAGAGCAGTACTTTATGCCCTTTAAAAAATACGGCTAGAGATTCAACCTAAAATCCATCACTAAGGCAGAGTTGCCGTTTGCAGGAGAGTGAGGGAGGAGGAGGAGGAACGCGGCCCCGAGCTCAGGCTGGCTCTGCACCCCGCTCCGCACGGACTGCGTGCCCGGCAGCGCCGYGACGCCCCGCGGATGGGCACCAGGCCACCCGGTGCACCTCACAGCCCTCTCATAACCCCTGTTTTTATTTATTTATTTGTTCATTTATTTATTTATTAAGAGTTTGTACCCAAAGGGCGTTTCCCAGGTATTCCCTAATCTTCTGCTTTTCCCATCTCATTCTAGCAAGCAAAGCTTCCCAGCAGTCTGCCGGTTACAACATGTGTGGGAATAATTATATATATATATATACACATATATATAAATATATATGTGTATATATATATATATATCGTTCCTAGAAAGAATGAGTTTAATTATGGAGAAGCTCCGTTTCTGAATGCAAACCAAGCGAATGTCTTTACATTTCTGCATGCGTTTAGGTGTATTACAATGGCTACCATGGTGACACTTCGGAAACCTTTTTGGTGGGCAATGTGGATCAATCTGGGCAAAAGTTAGTGGAGGTTGCCAGGAACTGTCGAGATGCAGCAATTGCAGCCTGCGGCCCGGGGGCTGCCTTCGCCGTAATTGGGAACACAATCAGGTAAGCCCGACAGTGACAAGTAAAGGGMGGGCTGGCAAGTGGCACAAAGGTTATTGGTGGTTTGGTATAAAGCTGATGACATGTTTTATGATTCAAAACCATCATTTCAGTCTGATATCAGTATGTGAACTGCCAAGCTATAATGTTGTTCCTTGGGTAAGAGAGATTTTTTTTTTTTCTTTTTTTAAGTGAATTACACTGGGGTCAGGAAAGATAACCATAGAAAGTCAGAGGTATTCATAAGGCAGGTTTATGTTAGCAGATGTAATTTGCAGTGGTCTTTTGTTTATTATTTATTTTTACATGAAGCTGTTGAAGCTGTGCCGTATCTGTGCGACAGTGTAAGAAGCCTTGAAGCCATTGTTTCATTGTGTGGCGATAACTAATGTTACAAAGGAATTAGTCAATATAAATAAGTCTTTGTTTTTTGTTTTTTATAAGTAAAAAAAAATCTAACTCAGGCTTCTTATCTTACAAAGGACTGCACATATTGATGTCATAGGGAAAAAAAACAGAAAGCTCACATTAAGATTTATATTGCATTTGTTCTAGCCTTTGTAGAAATGCAGTTGTGACTCTTGTGAATTTGAATAAAAATATGACTTAATTTCTTGAAAGCACTTCTAGATTATTTTTAAATATTTGCAAAAAAAAAAAGAAAAAAGAAATCATATACATTTCATTAAGYAATACTTCACTGGACTATTAATGGACCCCACATACTACTCAATGCCTTCTGATTACTTAAAAGCTACAAGACTTACTCACCTTGAAAGGTTTCTGCTTTTTTTTTTCTTTGTAAATCTTCAAATACTTTAAGGAGAAAAGAGAACGACAAAATATCTGTTAGATGTATTTATAGCTTTAAAAATATTGTAACAGAGTCTGAATCAAACTTTAGTAAAACCTCTTTGGGTTATATCTGAGAAGCTTTTATTGAAGACTTTGTATAAAATTGTGTTTTTGACAGTTTTAAATTATAGGCTAACTAGCCTGGAGAAAAAGGATAGTGTCTTTCTGTTCTTTCATAGGAAATGTTGAATCAGACCCCTACTGGGAAAAGAAATTTAATGCATATCTCACTATCTTACTGTCCATGAATATAATAGAAGCGAATTCAAAATGTAGTTTTATTTTTGCAAATGGGATGAGTCGATAGATGCACCTCATATTTTTGAACACCTAGGGTTCAACAAATTTACTGGTGGTGCTCTTGCATTTTAACAAAATTTATTCTTGAGTAGAAGGGGGCACAGAACACTGGATTCTTATTCAAGCATTCGAGCGAGCTCTGCATTCATGGCTGTGTCTAAAGGGCATGTCAGCCTTTGATTCTCTCTGAGAGGTAATTATCCTTTTCCTGTCACGGAACAACAAATGATAGCTAACTACAGAGGCACATTTGCAGTAGTCACATTCATCAACTGCAGAAAAAAAAAATTCAATTTAATTGTGCAACACAGCTGCACATAGGCTTTTTGAGCATTTCTGTTGTTCTCCCTGTCTTGCTATTCCTCCCTCCAGATCTATTTTTTAAACTTTTTTTTTTCTGTTTTTTTTCCCCTTTTTTGTCTCTTCTTCCATTTTTACTCTCTGTACTTTCTTGTTAAAGTAATTTTCCTTTGTGGCTCTCATTCTTTTTTCCCCATTGAAGGCTATGAATGTAGAAAATTATCACAATTACTCATATAATTGAGCCTCTTTGTAGCAAGTGCAACTCCAGTAGCCTTTCTCCATCATGAAAATGGTTTCATTATAGGGTTTTTCATATTCTCTGACACCATCTACACAGAGGAACAGGCGTGCAGATGAGATGTACTAGGAACAGGGTAGATCAGTAAGGTCACAGTAGGAATAATTAGCTCTGCTATGGAAAGAGCATCTAGGCCTTTTACTGCTACATAAATGTACTGTCCATGGCTTTTAGTCACAAAAAAACTTACTAACAAATGGAGCTCCCGCCTACTACTTTGAAAAAAAGATTTGTATCAACACTACAATTTTCCATCATTAAGACTAATAACACAGAGCCTAGTATACATCAAGGGGAATAAAAAGAAAAATCTCACATTCAAGTGGCGGCTGGGTGCTGACCTTTGTTCCCTTTTTTTGTGTTCAACTTAACTCTTTACAAAAAAGAGCCACACGCCACACCAACATGCAGGTGAACTCCAGCTAGTGCTAGCAAAGCACGGCATTCAGTCAGAAAATCTGATAAATCTCCATGCAGGATAATGCATTTCATTACAGATTCACTACATTAATTCTGGCTGTATTTAAAAAAAAAAGAAAAAGAAAAAGAAAGAAAAGAAAAAAAAAAGAAAGAAAAAAGAAGAAAAAAAGGAGGGTGGAGAAAAAGAAGAGAATTCAAAGTGACATTGGATTTTTTGCTATGTTGTTATGGAGGTCAGTTTACTTGCAAAGTGTAAATATATATTCAGCGCCCTCTTTGAAAAGCAGATTTAATCAGAACTAGTAGCTGTTGAGAACTGTACAGGAAAGACCCGGTCATTAACTTTCTTTCCCCAGATTTTGTCATGTAGCCTATCTAAATGTGCTGATTTGTTTGGAACGACTTTGCTGCCGCCTCTGCTGAATGAGTAGCTTGGCCCATTGAAGCCCGGGGTTTCTGATTAGTTGTCATGCTGCATTTCTGTGCGTATATACAGACATAGATACATACATACAYGTATATGTACAGCAAAATGTTAAGTATCATAATATAAATACCTGGGAAGAGACACTTACAACCTTAAAACATTTAGACACATCAGAATGGAAATGTGCCTAGACCTCTTTCATCAATATTTTCTATATAGGTCCTCAAGCAATTAATGTAAACAATCTTAGATTTCACAATCAGGATATTTGATTTGCTTTTCTGTAATAGATGTGGCTATAAATAGACCACAGAGGTAAGTTTGCATGCAGTATTGTAACGTATTCTTTGTTCTGGAAGCTTGGTGTCTGGCATTGAGTATTTGGTGGGCAGCAGCTCCTTCTTGCCATCAGGTAGAAATTGCAAATAAGAAATGTGCAATTTCTTGARTTAATTTGCTTATAAATTATTTTTTGAATCTTTCCTGACCTATTCTTACTGGAGAGGATGGCAAAACTGTGGGTCAGCTCCRTCAGAAACAGAGTTGGGCCCTGTGGTCTATTTTCTTTTACCATTTATGACATTTCTCTTTCATAGAAACAAGTCTAGTTTGAAATCTTCTTTTTAGGCAACCAGTTTAGATATGTGAAAGTGTTGTCGGTATATAGAGCTAAAAATATATRTAATATTGTTGAATAAGTCAATTTCCACCTCCTAAGGAAAAAAATGTAGTGGTGAAAGTATTAATAAATGGTTTAAAATGTTTAASTCATAAGTATATGTTTTGATATTAATTTAGAACAATATAAAGCAGATTTAAAAAATCTGTTTCTATCAGATTATGCACATTTAAACAATAAGTGGCTCAGGCAAAATAAGTCATTTTAATGTCATCTGTGATAGATTTTCCTTGACAGCTACTGTAAATTACAATTACACTGCTTCTCTCTGCACTTTAAAGTAAGCATTGCAATAAATTATCTTTTATTTCAATCCATCATGTCTGCTTTCAGAAACAGAGAACCTCAAATAAAAGTTCAGCACTATTATAAGAAAAATACAGTAATTTGTGTTCCASTTTGAAACTAAAACGTACCTTTCTTTCAAAAAACAATTGTTGGCTTTCTAAAATATTACTAATTATACCTCAGTGTTTATTGTCATTGTAGGGAATCCCTGAACTTGTGCATTCCGTCAGTCTAAGATTACTATTTAAGGGAAAAGTACTTTCCCAAGAGAATTTTCAAATTTCTCAAATTAGGTGATACAGTAGCATTCAGAACAAATATTTTTATTGTGAGCATATCTAGGGTAGTTTCACACTGTTTTCAGAAGTTAAAGGGAAACAAAGTGCCATTCAGCAATCCTTTTTGGTGCCAGTATTTATGAGGATGTGGTCACGTTTACATAAGCGGATGGTGCCTTCTTTGAGATCCCCGAGCAAGCGGCCTCCTCAGAGCCCTATTGTCTCTCCTCCTGCTTCCCAAGCCTTTTCTCTGCCTCTCACACATYTTAGTCCAACTCGTGCAGCATCTCTGGCCATTTGTGTCCCAACGCTCTTTGCAACCATCCCTGAGAAAGTTTTCATGTGGGGGCAGAGAAGCTGGAAGTGAGGGAGAAGGTCCATCACTAGGAGCTGCTTCGCTGGTGCCTTCAGCCCAGCCTACGCGGCCCCAGCGCCATCCCGCGTGCTCGCCTGGGCCGTGGCCTTACGTTACGTTGCACGCCGTGGCGTTGTGTTACGTTGTGTGCTGTGGTGTGTCCTGACCGCACAGTGCTGCGGGACTTATCTCGCTTTGCTTCAGGGCTGAGGGCTTGCAGTGCTGCATCCGACCTGCCATGAGGAGAAAGCACCGGCATCAGGGGCTGGCTCAAAATAAAGCAGGAAAGACACAGATGCAGAGCCTAGAGCTGGGCRCCGCAGCGCCAAGGCTGGCATGCTGTGTGTGCTCCATCCAGCCCCAGGGGCTTCCCGGCACRAGGGGCTTGTCCCGCTGGGCACGCTCCCCCTGCAGCCATCCCCGTGCCCGGCCTGGCCTCGCGCTGCCGGCGCCTCCGGCCTGCGGAGCAGCGCCCCGAGCGGGAGCCTGGCCCTGGCATGGCGCCGGCCTGGCACCGCTGGGAGCGGCRCTGCCGCGGCATGAGCCGCACACGAACCCTGAGGTGTCGAGCTGCTGTCAGCCGCAAGCAGCCAACGTCAYGCAAAAAATGCTAAATGCTCTGTGCTAAATGCTAGATTGCTCTGTGGTGTCCAGGKTTTTTTTTTTTCCATATTCCGCAGCCTGGGAATCCTGGAGGCTGGAGAGGCTGGCCAGGACCAACACTCATCCTCACTCTCATCAGAAGGACACTCTCCCCCATGAGCATCCYCACCTTCATTTACTATCACAGAATTGCAAATAGTCACGAGGTTTAGCAGTCGTTTTTTGTTGTTGTTGTTTGGTTATCATTTTTGTTTTATTTTTTAGGAAATCTGTGAATTTTATTATGACTTGGCATGGATGAGACRGAGCTTACTGGGGTTTGTGGAATACTCTAATGCTTATAGTTGCCCTTTGAAATTCACCGCAAGGTGCCTCCGAAGCACGTGCAGATATTAAAACCAGATTGAATGTAGCTGGACTGCATACCTGCAGCTTATTTTCCACACGGATTTTGTGTATGTCATTTCAGGTTCATTGGCCACGTTACATTTTATGTAAAGAATGCCCAATCTCCGTGTGCGGGCGCTGGTGAGCGGGAGGGAGGGGGGCGATGGAGCCTGTCAGTGCAGATGTCAAAGCCATGTCAGCTCCAAGCTCCCCTATTTTGATCGCAGACAGTAACCAGCGAGGTCCTGATGCCAGAAGAGCTGTTTTCAAGCTGTTCAGCAAGGAAGTGGCAGGGTTCAGCACTGAACTGCACTGCTGCTGTTTCCACCCGATGAGCGGGGATGCTGTTTTAACGAGGTCCTGTCTATGCCCCACGCTCTTGCGGATGGTGCCCAGGGAGCAGCTGCCACCGTGCTCCTGTGCGCTAGCGGAGCGGCGAGCGACAGAGCTTCCCGGGCCCACATGGAGCAGCCAGCGCCGGCGCTTGGCACAGTAGCTCCAAGCTGCATGTCTGCTCACAGTGGGAGATTTTTTCTTTCTTTGAGGGGGGGAATATATATATTATATATATTGTATATATGTTTTATATATGTGTATTAAAATAGGACGCCTCAAAAAATGACTGCTCTCTAGGTGGTCTAGGACGCTGTATTACGGCACAAGCAAAACTGGTCATTGGGCTTGTGCTGGCTTTTGCCAAAAGTCTTGTAGGACAAGAATAAGGCAACTTGGCCCACACTGCACATGTGACTTCTCCCATTGCTCTTGAGAGACACGTGTGGAAAGTGGCTTACGTGTGGGGAACGTTGTTGGCGTTGCTCTGGCTTTGGTCACAAGTGATGTCCCGTTTTGGGTTTGTGCACATCTGAGTATCCAGGCTCCCCGGCTTCGTGTCCAGTGCTTCCTCCTYGGTCTGCAGTAGCCTGCCAGCCGGCGGGATGAGGAGGAGCGCATGCTATGGAAAGGCTTTTTCGTCTCTAGTAGGATTCCTCAGTGTATAAACTTGCACTGTACTTTTCCTCATAACTGGTACAGAAGATAAARCTGTACCATGAGTATAACCAGATGAAGCCCAATTTCTAGCCCTATTAGTCATCCTCTTTGTCAGTAATTAGAAGTTTGTGGACAGCTTAAATTAAAATTTCCATTCTTCTCCAAAATTAATGAAAGAAATGTGATGGGTCTTTACACCAGAGTGATGGGTTGGTAAAAGCTAATATACAAATCCTGTTAAAACGGGCTCTTAAGGTCTGAACACTGCACTGTTAACCATTGACCCAACTCAGCTCTCCGGTGTCGGTTCCTGGTGGCAGAGCACCATGTACTTCAATTGCAGCAGCATTAAATTCCCGAGTTGTGACACACGGGTACCGAATCGAGCGCCACAGGGTCGGTAAAGCCTCACGTGCAGAGGGATTACTGTGTGCAGTGATCTAAGCGATCCGAGGCCACTTTGGACCTGAATAAGAGCCTCCCCATGGGGTTTAGGATGCTTTAATTTCTGTGAGAGGAGCGGACACCTTTCTTGGAGTTTCTTTACTTTCTTGCACCTTTGCAAGGTGCAGCTACGCACAGGTCTGTAGGGTTGGGGCGCCAGCCTTGCTTTTAGACAAACAAGCTGGAAAGTCCCACCCACGGACAAGCTGTCTGGAGCGGCAGCATGTTCCTGCACTGAAAGCTGCCAGTGTTCGGAAGGGGACACTGTGCAGCTGCGTGGCGAGCGGGCTGCCCCGCGCTGCAGCAGGTTGCCCTGCGAAAGGGAGAGGTTCAAGCTGCTGCCGCTGTGCCCAGCCCACAGCGCTCACCTATACGCTGCCGCTTCTGCAGGCAYGTTAACTCTGAACCCTACCAATGGCCCCTCGCTGGCAGCCCTGATGGCTGCTTCCTTTCAGAGTGGAGACATGGCTGTGGGGGCAGCAGGAGCCAGGGGACACAGGTTTGGGGGGCTCCCTCATGGTGTCCTCCTTGCTCCCGCAGCTCTGTGGCGCGGCAGGGCGGCTTCAGTGTGTGCCCCAGCTTCATCGGCCAYGGCATCGGCTCCTACTTCCACGGGCACCCCGAGGTGTGGCACCACGGTAAGCACAGCCGGGTGTTCTTCACTGGGATGGCACCTGAACATGGCAGCTGCAGGGCAAAGTGGGGTGCAGCCARGTGCTGGGTACAGTTACCAAAGCAAAACAAAACAAAAAAAGTAAAGCTGCTCTCTGCACAACTGTAAGAATGTTTTTATTTTCTTTTGCAGCCAATGACAGTGATTTGTTAATGGAAGAGGGAATGGCATTCACAATAGGTCAGTACCTGTCTGGCATGTTTTGCTTTAAGAAAACACCCGAGGCAGTCCCGGGCCGGGCCTTTATTAGGCTCAAGAAATTCCCGTTCAGCTGTGGGGCTGTGGCTGCACGACGCCCGTAGGAAGCAGATTAAAACGTCACGGTAAATTGCAGCGAGGGAATAATTGGACGAGTGAGCTGCCAAGTGCTAAGATTTCCAAAAGGAAGGACCCCAAATAAACCTTACTAAACGAGGCGGACTTGGATAAGGCAGAGCCCGGGCCAGCTCRCTCCGGACGGGCTGCGCAGAAACGGAGGGCTCTGATTCTGTCACCGAGGCGCTGCTCTGGCGCCGGGGTACCTGGTGCTGCCCGTGTCGCTTAGCGGTGACAGAGCTGCCGTCGGGTCCGGGGGCTGGGGGCGGGCGGGCCCGGGCCGGGCAGGCGCTAAATGCCAATCAGGGCAGTGCTGCGAGAGCAGCTCGACGGCGCGGCAATTAGGGGGGGATCAGAAAATTGGTGTTTTGCTGATTTAATGAACATTTTAAGCCTGTTTAAAAAAAAAATATTTCAAACTATCTGCTGTTCAGAAGGGTAGTTGATGCTTCGGTTATTATCCGTGGGGTCTTAATTAGGGCTTGATTAAAATTCCTAGCTTAAAAAAAATACAAACTGGCAATTTCCTACCTTAATAGTTCGTCTTTCTCTTTAGTTCAAAATTGAGTTTTGCGAGACAGCTGCCCGGCGAGGAGGGAGAGCTGCAGATTCCTGCTTCCCCGCCGCCTCCATTTCTTCCTTGCTTCCCAGTTCGGGAAGGAGTGCGACTAAGTTTGGAAAACATTTTTTTTTTTTCATGTTACAGAGCCGATAATAATGGAAGGATCCCCGGAGTTTCATATTCTGGAGGACAAGTGGACGGCGGTCTCGGTGGACAACAAGAGGTGCCCGGCTTCGCCCGCGAGCGGGATCCCAGCGCCGGCACCGCGGGTGCGTTGGGCGGGCGCTGCCGGCCGCCCCTGCCCCGCTGACGGCGGCCAAACGTGCGTTTCAGATCGGCGCAGTTTGAGCACACCGTTGTGATCACGCCGCAGGGAGCGGAGGTCCTCTCGAAGGTGGAGGGAGAAGGCTGAGGACGGCGGGGCCGCTGGAATTCCCGGGGCGGGGATGGGTTTCCCCTGATTGCCCTGGGGAGCTGGGGCTGCCGCTGAAGCAGCTCCCGGGCTCGGCTGCGAAGGGCTTAGACCTCCCTGTGTGTGGCTGGTGAGTAGTTAATAAAAGTCCCTCGGCTTTTTCTGTGAGTGCTGGCACAGCCCGCTGGTACGCGGGTTTGGGGGTGATTTGGGTGAGGGGCAGAGGGGTGCACTGCTCTCCACGGCCCCGTGTGGGGCACGCGCGGCCCACGTGCGCCTTGGGGGGCAGGGGGGCTCGAAGGATTTTGCTTTTAGAGCTGAGCTGTGGAGTCAAATGATGTCCACTGCAATCAGCACGATGCTGCGATTTCTGTAAGAATAATTAAAAAGAAAGGGAAAATGAGGAAGAGGGAAAAGAAAAGAAAAGAAAAGAAAAGAAAAGAAAAGAAAAGAAAAGAAAAGAAAAGAAAAGAAAAGAAAAGAAAAGAAAAGAAAAGAAAAGAAAA